TCCTCATCATAGGTTAGGGGTCCAAATCTCCACTGACTTGCACTTTTCACTCTTACCACAGGGTAGGGGCCCAAATCCCCACTGACTTACCACTTTTGAGAATGACATGGGGCCTTAGTGGTAGTATTGCCAAGCCTCATACGTTTCATTTTCACCACAGGGTAGGGGCCCAAATCCCCACTGACTTACCACTTTTGAGAATGGCATGGGGCCTTGGCGGTAGTATTGCCAAGCCCCATACTTTTGATAATGGCATAGGGACTTGGCGATAGTATTGCCAAGCCCATGACGAGGTCTCTGACTCCATTCTCATCCATCAGTTTTAGCTTCGAAAACAATGGCCAACCTCTTCAAAACATTGAGACCATCACGGTAGTTAAAATACCGTCATACACCATGTGGTCATATATACGGTCGTGCTTCATACGATTACCACTTTTTTGGTAAAAAAAAAAAATATACGACTAGGTTTAGAAAAGTATAATTTTTTTTGTTTATTTCTAATAAACCAAATATTAAGATATATTTATGATAATTTCTACACTTTAAATTTCATATGTTTAATAGAATAAAAAGTACAAAATTCTAGGTTCAATTTGAAATCTTGAAACCAATGTTTAAAAAATTGGTTACCCGATCTAGAATCGGGCGATCCAAAGTGTTCTGGATCTGTTTAAAAAAGGGATCCCGCTGATTCCATATCGTTCTACCGGTTGTGGCATCATTAAGCAGGATGTATGATGTCATCAAACAGGCTATTATGTAGCAAACATCACTGTTTTTTTTTTTAATATTAATTTTAACTTTTTTTATCTCCATCTTTTTGTTTGACTTTTTTGTCTTTTGTATTTGCCAAATGGTATTTTTATTGCTTATTTGAAAGGAAAATTTTTATATGAGGATGCTACCTTATAATGTACAACTACATATGCCATTAAAAAATTCATCAAAAAATGTAGTTTTTTTATTGATCATCTCGACATCGAGATATATGACTATGAAAAATAACAAGATTTTAAGTCTAAAAAATAGTGCATTTTACAACACATTATCTACACCATCCATTTCCAAGATTTTTGTATGTTTATAGATCTACTTGATTTTAACCATTTTTTAAATTTAAAATTTTATAATTAGATATAAAAATAGATTTTGAGATAATCCTAATAACATTTTACATCAAAATTATAGACCATGATAAAATTTGACGCGTGCCAAAAATGTATTATCCTAAATTCTTTAATATTAGAACGGACGGCATTCTATAATTCAAAAACATTTTGAATTGCAAACCATAAGACTTTCCAACATGAAGGATTTGAAAGAACACCTTCTTTCTACGTGACATATTTTCCATGACGATTTTAAAATGATCTATATACAAGTTTTTATGAGAAATTATTATTTTTAAAATTTTTTAATATAGAAGTGTTTTTTAATATTTTAAATTATTTTGATGTAATATTATAATATTATTATAATTAATAATTATACAATCATCCAAACAGGAGAACAACCTCTCAGTATCCATTTATTTTTAATGAAAATATATAATACACCACTCCTAAATTCTTTTAAAAACTAAAAAAACTCTATTTTTAAAGATTTATAATGGTTTTTTGGGCCGATCTGATTTTTTAAACCTTACTTGAACCCAGTGTTCACCGGAGTCGACACATGAACGGTTGATTCCTGTGTAAAGCATGTTGAATCGCCTGGTCCTAGAGAAGAACTGGCGATTCTGTATATGTATGACATCATAGGTCGGCGTATGACGTGTATAACGTCATAGATCGACACATGACATTACAATCTTCCCTTACACATTAAAATGACATCATGGATCACCTTGATGACATCGATAGACCCATTTACACGTGGCCACGCATCAATATTTCGTGGTTGTAGGGGTTGGTTTTCTTATTTTATAGGGCCTCTTCTTCTCACGTCTGTTTGACGTGAGACAATTCCTTAATATGCTTTTGCTTTCTAATATAGCCTTTTATTCACGTAAATAGGACAACAAGTGGTGCTCTGGTATATTTGGTTATCACGTTTTTTTTACGCACTGAAGATCCCTAGTTCCGAACTTCTTGGGCGGCACCATCTTCTTAATACAACAGCTATTTCTTGTTATATTCTTATTTTTCTCTTCAAAAAAAATAAAAAGTAATATAACAAGTTTGTTTTTTTTTTAAAAAAGAAAAAAGTAATACAACAAGTATCATATTTTTTTGGCAAAAAAAAAAAGGTAATACAACAAGTATTTCTTGTCAAGAAAAAAATAACAGGTATTTCTTACTATAACAAATATTTATGGTTATTTTCTTATGTTTTTTATTTTCTCATAAAAAAAATAAAAATTAATACAACAAGTATTTATTGTCAAAATAATAATAAAAGGTAATATAACAAGTATCATATTTTTCTTGTAAAAAAAAAAACAAAAAGTAATACAACAAGTATTTCTTATATAAAAAAAAAAATGTAGTAAAACAAGTATCATGCTTTTCAAGCATGCATTTAAGCTGCGGCCCCATCTTCTTAATACATCAAGTATGTCTTGTTATTTTCTTATTTTTCTTGTCAAAAAAAAAGAAGTAATACAACAAGTATTTTTTGTCAAAAATAAAATAAAAGGTAATACAACAAGTATCATATTTTTCTGGTAAAAACAATAACAGGTAATACCACAAGTATTTCTTGTCAAGGAAAAAATAAAAGGTATTTCTTAATACAAGTATTTCTTGTTATTTTCTTATTTTTCAAGTAAAAAAAATAAAAACGTAATACAACATGTAATAAAAAGCAATACAACAAGTATCATATTTTTCTTGT